ATGTAACTACCGTCTCCTAGGACTGATGTGAAAAAGGGAGACTGTGTATCAAGGGTGCAGGCCAGTAACGAGTGGTCAAGGATAAGACGTCCACATGGCAGGGATTTTCGTCCCTTTGTTTCATTACTATATCCTTGTTTGCGATAGCACTGTATTAGTTTCCTATGGCTGCTGTAACAAAGTACCACAAGGTGTAAAACAGCACAGCTTTAGTCTGACAGTTCTGGAGGTCAGAAGTCCAAAATGAGTGTTACAGGAATAAAATCAAGGTGTCAGAAGGGCAGCCTCCTTCTGGAGGCTCTATGGGAGAGCCTTGTTTCCTTGCCTTTTCCAGCTTCCTCCTTCCTTGGCCCGCGGCCCCGCATCACGGCACCCTTTCTCCCGCTGCTTCCATCGTCACATCACTTTCTTCCCTTCGGTATTTAAGTCTCCCTCTGCTTCCCTCTTACAAGGACCCTTATGATTACACTTATGAGCCACCAGATAATGCAGGATCATCTCCCTATCTCAAACTCCTTACCTTTATGACATCTGCAAAGCCCCTTTTGCCACATAGGTGACATTCACAGGTTCCAGGGATTAGGATCTGGGTATCTTTGCGGGGGTGGGGGGGGNATTTTTGTTTGTTTGTTTTTGCAAGTGGAAATTGCTTTCTTATTTTTTTCTAATTGTAAAAATGATACAGGATCAGAAATGCACAGAGAGTAAAAAGCCTCTACCATGATACCACTGAGGTAACTGTGTTTTTACCATTACTCTATTTGCAACATGTACCATATAGCAGGTACTTAATATCTGTTGAATGAATTACTGTTAATATCTTGTGAACATCCTTTTTAGTCTTCAGACCAAAATCAAACAAACAAAACACAAAACAAAACAAAAAACCCAAGTCCTCTCTCTGAGGGTTTGTTTAGCCTCTAAACCAGGAGGGGACGGTTATAGTCACTAAAGACAGAAACTGCTGGGACAATATCACATCTCTTTGATCACACGTTTCACAACAGCTGATGTCTTACATCTATGGAATGTAGGGAGACAATAACACCAAATACACCATTCTCATGGCCATACACAATATCAAGGGCTGCTCGGTTTAAGCAATATCAAGAAAGGCTGCAAAACAGTCCGTAGCCCAGCCAGGAGTGGCTCCGACAGTAGATGGAAGGGTAGGTTCTGCACCGCCCCCCACAAATCATTCCTCCCACCATGGGCCCTCTTCCTTCCCTATAGCACCACGACGAGTTTTCTTGGGGCGCCTGAGTTCAACTCAACAATTTTTATTGAGTCTAGCATCCTTTTGATTGTTTACTCCCTTTTCCATAAACCAACACGGGTTTCTGATTACCTCTGGAAATGAATTAAAGCCAGATCCTGTCTGCAGACATATGCTGCATCTTTATTTCCCAAATTGAATTAGTGGCTAACATTGAAAAACTGGGATATTTGACATGTGAATCTGAATTTTCAGATCTCGAAAAGTCATCGAATTTGGCACCATTGGGCTCTTATCCCATGGAGCAATCAGCTAGCTGAGAGCAGCCTCCCACTTGGGACAGGGTGTGTGTCCTTCAGCTCCCTGTAATCCCACCTTCCCCTGTTGTGTTACATCCTGCCTCCACTGCTCAATTACTCAACTTGCTACCTCTAACTAATCATGTCAAAGTATCAGGGGGCACCTACTAAGCACCCTGCAGGAGCTCTGAAACCAACATACAGTGCAGTGAGGTCAGCACAGCACAGATAGCAAGAATATGGCATAGTACGGGACTCTGCCCTGAGACACTGATTGGAGGTTCCCTGAAGGTCATGTTTGAGCTGGGTTTTCAAGGATGAATATGAATGATTCAGACCGGTGGGTTGGTGGGGTATACTGCAAACAGTGAGGTGGTATTGAAAGCATGCATATACAAGGTCTTCTGTTGATTAGCTGCCTGTTGCATAGGTGACCTTCTCATGCCAGCAACTTCCTTTCCCATGAGTGACGCTGGTCTGTCTACAATCCTCTGCCCAGGTCCTCCCATTCCTTCTGTCAAAACACTAGAGAAGGTTCACCTCTACCAGGAAGAGCCTGCCTGACTAATCCCCACTTACCTCCAGTTACTTCAGCTAAGGCAACACTCCCATTCTAGGATAACTGGTTGGTTACCTGAGGGTGATTCTGTTATTTGAGCTCTTTGTTTTGTTTTGAAACCTCTGACATTTGAAGACTAGATCAGCATTCCAAGCAATTAATCAATAAGTATTTATCAAATACCTACATTGTGTAGAGAACTCTCTCTGTCATATATATCACTTTTGACCCCAACAGCAACCCGGCTGAGAAAGAAGATAAACACAAATAAACTAAGAATAGAGGCTACAATTTAGAAAACATTTATTAAGTGCCTGGTATTCACAATTTTTTAAATCCCTCCATCCATCCAACAGTCACTGAGCACTGGGCTAGGGCCAGGCATTGTGCTTGGTGCTTGGAAATTCAGACACACTAAAATTTACAAGCCAGCAGATAACATGGATAAATAAACCCATTACAATANGTTTCCTCCCAACCAAAGTTACAGGACAGGACGGGGTGGGGGTGGGGGTGCTGACTCCATGAAGAAAGTTGCTGGTCAGGTTAAATAGAAACACCTTTGATCACTTCTTAAGTTGTTTTAAGACTGTTTGGGTGGTTTTTAAATGAGAAGTCTTTCCCATGGCAAATCCGGACATGCAGACACAAAAGTCATCATCACCTTCCTCATATCCAACAATGGTGAGACCTGTGGCCTCAACACCAACTTCCTTCTAGGCGTTTAGACTTAGAGGCCAGGTGCAGATGCACGCAGGCACCAGCTGCTGGGCAGCATCAGGAAACAGCCCCTTGAGGTCAAGCACTAGCCGAGAAGCTGGGGATTTTCTCCGACAAGGCAAGCAAAGAGGGATGTGGGAGCATTGTGGAGATGAGCCAGCCTTTTCTCCTGTGATCAGGAAAGGCAGGAAAGGTTTCCTGGAGGGGTACACCTTCAGGAGCTGCTTGAGTGGCCGGAGGGAGCACCTGGCAAGGCACTGGTCCTTGTAGGATTAGGATGCAGTTTGGGATGAGGATTTGGAGGTGCATGCGGGTTGAATGAACAAAGCAGGTGCAGAGTGAATTCCCCAATAAAGAAAGAGGCAGTACCTGGGCCTGGAATCAGGAGACACTGTGGTAAACTTGTACAACCTGAACTGTGGGGTAAAGGTGGGCCACAGTAAAGACGAGTTGAAGCAGACGCCCCATTTATCTGTACTCCGGTAAGAAATGGAATTGGCATTAACTGAAGAGGTGTTGTCCAATGGCTTCTTCAAGGACTGGCAGTTGTTTTTTTAAAATAATACTTTTTTTGAGATCTAATTTACATAAAATCCACTTATTTAAAGTATATAATTCAGTGGTTTTTAGTGTATTCAAGATTGTGTAACTATTACCACTGTCTAATGTTAGAACATTTTCATCACAACCCAAAAGAAACCCTGTACCCATTAACATTCATCCCTTATTCTGCATCCCTCCTCCCACCAGTTCTAGCCAACAACAAACCTACTTTCTGTCTATGGATTTGCCTATTCTGAACATTTCATATAAATATGCGGTTTTTCTGTGACTGGCTTCTTTCACTTAGCATAATGTTTTCAAGTTTCATCTCTGTTGCTGCATAAATCAGTACGTCATTCTTTTTGTGGCTAAATAACATTTCATTGTATGAATAGACCACATTTTGTTTATCCATTCATCAGTAGATATATTTGGGTTGTTTCCTCTTTTGGGCTGTAATGAATAATGCTGCTGTGAACATTCATGTATGTTTTTATGTGGACACATTTTCATTTCTCTTGAATATATTCCTAAGAGTGAAATGGCTGTGTCATATGATAACGATATGTTTAACATTTTGAGAAACTCCCAAACTGGTTTTCAAAGTGGCTGCACCATTTAACAATTCCACCAGCAATGTATGTCCACATCCTCCCAAATTTGTTATTGTCTGCTGTTTTTATTTTAGTCATCCTAGATACAATGAAGTGGTATTTCATTGTGTTTTGATGTTCATTTCCCTAATAATGATATTGAACATCTTACCATGTGTTTATTGGCCATTTGTATATCTTCTTTGGGGGAAATATCTACTCAAATCCTTTGCCATTTTTAAACTGGTGTATTTGTCTTTCTGTTGTAGAGTTGTAAGAGCTCTTTATATATTGTAGATTTAAGTCCCTTATCAAATATATAATTTGCAATATTTTCACCTATTCTGTGGGTAGTCTTTTCACTTTCTTGACGGTGCCGTTGAAGTACTAATGTTTTTAAAATTTTGATGAAGTCGGGCCGGCCGAGTGGCTCGTTGGTTAGGAGTTGGCTTGGTACACCAGCTCTGAGCATCAGAGCCTCGGTTCGGATCCCACATGAGGGCCAGTGACGCTGCGCCCTCTACAGCTAAGATGGTGAACAACAGCTCNAAGCCAGGCTGCTAGCATGCTGCAGGTGCATCAGGTGAACTGGGCTCATTCAAATGCCCTTTGAGCGCAACTAGCCTGAGTTTAACCGAGTGACATATGTTAACTTAAATGCAGCATCGAAATTGATTTTTTATAATCAGAGTCTCTAAACAGTAGGAAAATAGCCATTCTGCAGTACATGCAATAATTTACCAAGTGCTTTTTCTAACTCACCATGTAAAAGATCCTCTCAGCAACGCTCTGAGGGTAGCGAACATTATCCCCACTCTACAGATGAAGACACTGAGGTTCAGAGAGGTAAAGGGACTGGGCCAGCCAGGGCTGGAAGCAGATCTGCTGGTTCCTAGTTCCCTGGCCTTACCCTCCTGCCTACGCAGAACATCATATTCACTTCCTTTCTGTTTTGATTAGATACATACTTTCAAAGAGGACAGGGAGACATAGCTGAGAAACCTATCCTTCCAGCTGGAGGAGGTTCAAGGCTGCCCTTTTACAAAGCGTCTCTTTTTGTTCCCCCGAAGGAATTATCTTATCAGCCATTATCTCTTCGAATCCCCAAAAGCCGCCTTTCCTGCTTATTCTGGATGCCAAAAGTTTTACAGAACTGGCTCGCGCATATGTTGATGTAGAGATGCACCTGGATCTCCACGGGTTATTCATCCCAGATGCGGACTTGGACTCAAGGAAACAGGTCCCTTCCCAGGAAGTCCAGGACAAGGCTTCAGACTGCCATGTGGCCTCACAGACCTGACTGGCTCGAGGCCCTGGGGCGAACCCCCCACTGCAGGCTCCCACAGGACCCAAGGTTTAATCCCTCCCTGGGTGGCAGGGAGGTGTTTCCTTTCATTTTGTGCTTATTCTTTTGGTGTTTGCTTTGAGACAAAGGTATGGAGATAGAGTTTATCAGTATCTTTTCTTTCATTTTATTTTGGCCATAAAAGCCTTGTTTGAAAGTCAGTCAAATACTTATTGATAAGTTCTCACACTTCTAAGAAAGCCCCTTTCCTATAAAGACCATCACCATGAGTTAGAAATTGTGTTAAGTCACATATTCATCATTCTTAGAATGAGCAACCACTGACATATTAAAGAAGAGACAAATAAATACTTACCATTGCTCCTTCCTCTCCCCGTTCCTTTTCTTCTTTCTTCCCAGTAGACTAGACTGTGCATCTCGGAGTTCTAGCTTTCTCAGTCATGCCCTGTGAGTGAGTTATGTGGCCGGGAAGGCATGTTGCTTTGTGGTCATTCCATGCAAGGCATGGCATAATAGAAAATAATAAAAAGTTTAATGTCTGTTCAGACCTTATTTTATTTTTACATGGCTTCTTTCCTCTGAAGTTCTTCTAAGGCAATAAAATAGAGTGGCAGAGCTAGATGGTTGGTAGCAAGCTAGATGGCTCACTGTACAACCAAATGTTCAACAGATTGGTGTGGGGATCAGTCGCCTTGTGCAGGAGGGGGTTAAGGGACTGGACACTGACCTGATTGGCCATGGCCGAGGGGCTGGAATCCAGGATTGAGTCTCATGCCAGGGCTGGCATGAGGCGTTCTTGCCTGATGCTGAGAACCAGAGCAGCAAGCTTCACCCATGTCTGTACAGGATCGAAGGCTCTCCAAGATGAATGTGCTGCCAGGGTAGGCCAGGCATTTGAGGCAGAGGTGGAAGGAGCTTGGTGGTGGGCACGGAAAGCAGGGAGCAAGCCAAACAGAGTCCCGTGTGAGTACTGGGAACCCCCTGGACATCTGAGTCTCATGTTTATAGTCTAATGGATGCCTGGTGCCAGGTTTAGAGACCAAAGGCAGTCCGGATAATTCCCAGGTACCCACATCCTGGGGTTACAGGAGCTGGGATTCCACCCTTATTCTTGTACCTGGCTCCTTCCGAGTCTAGATTTCATTCAGTCACCAAAGAGGATTCTATCTTCAGGACAGGAAGGAATCTCTGGTGACAGCACGTGAAATACCCCAGAGCGGGCAGATGGTCTTGGCTTTTGCCCTGCAGCCACCCCAAAGCCGTACTTCGCTTGCACTCAAATGTAGGCTCCAGCAGATCAGGGAGTTGTTTTTTTCTTTTTAATATAAGATTTTTACTGGAATAACTGTAGATTGCTGTGCAGTTCTAAGAAATAATACAAGAGGTCCCACATGGACTTTACAGTTTCCCCCAATGGTTAACATTTTAGTACAGTATCATAACCATGATATTGACATTGATCAATCCACAGATCTTATTCAGATTTCCCTGGTTTTGCTTGTACTCTGTGTGTGTGTGTGTGTGTGTGTGTGTGTGTGTGTGTGTGTGTNAGTTCTTGTCAAACGTGCTTTTTCCACTCCCTTGGGGGAATTCTGTTTAAAATTAGGGCTGTGCGTTATAGACACACGTTAAAGTAAGCTGTAGCGAATTTTAAAACTTGGATACTGTAATTCTCAGGATACTGTAATTCTCAGGATGTAGTCACAGCTCCGAGGACCAGGAGATCTTAGCGACTCAGAGGGGCCTTTTAAAACTTCAGTAAAACAAAGCTTACCCTGGTTTGCCATCTCAACTAACCAGATTAAAGGTTGATAAGTGCTGAACCAAGTGTATCAGATCTTTCAGGGGACTGTTAACTTTTTTTACAGCAACTTTCTTGCAAATGGGGTTGCTCTTTTAATAAAAGAAAAAAATGCTAAAAAAGCTGGAGAAACTTCCCAGTAAGCTGGTTAAGTATAGCCCAATAGTAGAAAATGACTCGAATTGACAGGTCAGAAAAAGCAAAATAAAGTGTCCTGCATTCTTAGTGCGCTGTCCTAGCAGAACTCAGCACACAAACCACATCTTAACCTTTGCATTAGCTGGACATTTGTGCTAACTCAGAAGCAGTTCAAGTGCTCTTGTAAGCTTCTCTTGGCTCTCTCTTTTGTAAATCCATTTGCACTCTGTGGATTTTAAAGGTGGTGGTGGTGGTGGGGGGTAGTCTTTGTTAGTAGGGGATTTGATTGCCAATATGACAGCTCATAGCTGGCAGTCAGAGGTTTGAGCAATCAATCTCAAATTGGGATCAGCAGGCCACAGTCTTCCTATTATGCAAAGTGTTCCCTGTTTGGGGAAATGCTTAGGAAAACTACTCAAGATGTACTATTGTTGTAGTTCTTTAAGTGGCATCCAGGCGGCTTCAAAGAAAATTGTGAATCCCCAAACACANCCTTTATGACATCTGCAAAGCCCCTTTTGCCACATAGGTGACATTCACAGGTTCCAGGGATTAGGATCTGGGTATCTTTGCGGGGGTGGGGGGGGGCATTATTCAGCCTACCAGAAGCACCTAGTTCTTAAGGCACGCAATAAATACTTGTTGCGAGAACGTGTGAATGTTAGCCATTTAGTATTGTTATTGGCATCATCTTGGCTCGTCCCTTTCAGGAGATACCATAACAACAAATGTGGTCTCCTCACCCTCAAGTCTTGCTCAAATCTCACCCAAATCTTACCTCCAGTAGATTTCCTGGCCCTATTTTTTTTTTTTTTAGCTGAGCCATCCTGCCACCTGTTGGCAGCTCAGCAACAGCTCAGCTCGGGCCAGGAATCGAACCGCTGTTTGCTCAGAGCTCACAGTCTTGAGCGAGCTCTTAACCAACTGAGCCACTCGGCCGGCCCCTGACCCTGTTTTAACGTTGCAACTTGCTTCCTCCATCACACACACTCCTAATCCCTTTATCCTGCTTAACTTTTTTTCTCCCCCATCTCCCACCCCTTCCCGAGCACTTTTTGCCTTCTGGCATACAGTAAAATTTACTTATTTATTACATTTACTGGTGTTTGTCCATCTTCCTCACTGGAGTGTAATCTCAAGGATTACATTGGGGACAAGGATTTTTCTCTGTTTTAGTCTCAGATGGATCCTAGGAGTCTAGAACAGTGTCTGGCACATAGCAGCTGCTCAATACACAAGTGTTGAATGAATGAATGGCCTCCTCAAGTTTCCTTTCAGCTTCGAGTCTGATCTTTATCTTTTGTGACCGATCTCAGCCTTCTTGACAAGGAGTCACTGCCTGTGGTGAAGCCAATTGATTCTAGGTAACCTATGTTTTATCCTATCCACAAGTCTACCCCATTCCATTAACACTCTGGCAGTTTGGGTCTCTAAAACATGGATGAATTCAATTCTCCTCTCCACCAAAATGTGCAAAAGTCTGGGAGGGAAATGGATGGCTTGGCTTTGGATATTTATTGAAGGATAAAGTTTTCAGAATTCCGAGGATCACAGCGTTGGGAGGGTCTGCTGTCCCTGGCTGACATTGCTGGGGTTTGATACTGTTTTCCCTAGTCTGCTAGAAGTAATGAGTTTGTGGTTTCTGCAGCTGGTCAGGCTCAGGATGTTTGCTACACAGGGTTCCTGAGCACCTGAGGGGCTTCAGGGTGCCACAAGCTTGCATATATTGCATGTGATTTTTTTGTGTGTATGTTCTCAAGGACAGTAGAGTCCATAGCTTGTATCAACTTCTCAACAGGGAAAGTTGAAGAAATTGTGCTCTGCTATAGCTGTGTGGATTCTGTGATTCTGCGACTCATGACGGAAACCTCAAATCAACAGGCTGTACACAGCTTGGAAAGAAAAGGCAGTCATTTCAAAGGCATGGCCTCTTCTCCCCATTCCTACCCCCTTAACAAGTCCCTAAGTTATTGTGTTAAAGATGCTAAACCAGGTGCGGTTTCAAATCGCAAGTTGACCAATCTCAGTATTTGCAAGACTCTGGGCATTACCTGAGACCTCAATTTTTCTCATAGGTAGAATTGGATGGCTCTACTTTCTTTGATTTTTGTGTGAATATGAAAGTGCTTCAAGGGTACAAAATGCTATAGAATTGCAAAGTATTCATGACAAAGGGAAAATGTGCCCTTTTTTGCTATGTGGCAACAGACTGGCTGTTCCCTATTCCATCCATCTATCCATCCATCCATCCATCCATCCATCCATCCATCCATCCATCCATCCATCCATCCACTTATCCATCCATCTATCCACTGTGTCCATCCATCTATTCATCCTCCCATGAACACTTATTTCCTCACAACATGCATAAAAGTTAACATGTACCTGACAAAAACTTTATATAAAACACTAACCCTCATAAAAATCGTGAATAAACTGAAGTTCAGAGACCTCAGGTCACTTGCTGACAATCACACAGCGGGAACGTGAGGGAGCAGAGCCTGCTTGAAAACCTAGTTCTGTCTGATGCCAGCAGCAATGCTCCTCGTCACCACCCACCAAAACTCTCTTAGGGACAGAGGAGAGGGAGCCACGTGGCCCAGGAGGAAGGTGGTGGTGGTGTGTGTGTGTGTGGGGGAGGTGGGTCTACCAAATACAGCACCTTGAAATGTTTTACCGTAAAATCATGCACCTGTTACAGTGTGCGCCATATTATGCCCATGCTTGTTTTAATATCACAGAACTTCCCAGCAATCTTTACGTACAAGTGAAGCTTTGGGAAGGGGGTATACTCCAGTATAGCTTTCTGCTACAATCCTCACCACACACCCCATTTCCCATGTCAGATGTCTGTGGTTCATGTTTGAGTCTTATCTCCTGGGTGGGACTAGAAGCACCTGGAGAGCAAGATCTGAATCTGATTCCTCCTTTCTCCCTCCCAAGGCCTAGCCCAGTACCCAGCAGGAAACAAGTACACAGATCATAAGTTTGGCAAATACTTACTGAATTCCTGCCTAACCAAGTCAGGTGCCATGGGAGATACAGGTGGATGCGATGTGGTCCCAGCTCTCAAGACATTTATAATTGAGCTGGAGAGGTCAAGCTTCCAGAATCTGCTCGAAAACCATCTTCCTAAGACTCTTGGCAAAGCATTTTAAAAACTTGGGACTGTAATATAGCAATAGAGAAAATGGTAGGTAATTGGACAACCAAGTTTCATTAAATAGGGCAAATTTTGTGAAAAGTGGCAACCTGTTCCTCTGGAAAGGTAGCATTGTGTCAATTAAAGAGCACACCTTGAAGTCACAAAGTACAAATTATTGATGTTGAAACTGCCATTTCCCAAGAGGGAAAAGTTGAAAGCACCTGCACTAGATGCTATCTGTTTAGCCAGAGGGGTTTCAGTCTGATCACTTGGCCTTTCAGGGTCACATTCAGAGCTTTAGCAGCGCAGGTAAACCCATGTTCCTTTCTACCCAACTTGCGTAGGTTCTATGTTTTTTAATTTTTTTTT